GGGCGACCCCTGGTCTAAGGGCTCGTACTCTTTCGTGGCGACGGGTTCCTCGGGCAACGACTACGACCTGCTGTCGGCGCCGGTGGCCGCGCAGTCACCGCAGCCTATGACTGGCGGACAGCAGCCGGGTGGTGGTGCCGGTGGACAGGCGGGTGGAGGCGGGCAGTCGATTCCGAGGCTGTTTTTCGCGGGCGAGCACACGATTCGCAACTACCCGGCCACAGTGCACGGGGCGCTGCTCAGTGGGCTCCGGGAGGCGTCCAGGATTGCAGACCAGTTTGTGGGCTGTCCCTACGCGGTGCCCACGCAGTCGTCGTAATGGTATTGAAAAATGCAAATATGATATGATTTTCTATTATTATTATTATTATAATAGTTTTTAAGTTTTTTTGTATGAAAAACTTTTGACGCATTTTGTGAGCACTTATTGAGACACTGTTTAGACCATACTTTCCATAGTTTTTGTTTCATATCCGATGTATCGGTTATTCATTGATTAAAATGTAATTATAATTTTTGTCATTAATTTTGTATTTGATCTCTAAAATGACAATTTTTTCAATAAAAAACACATTGTATTCATTTGTATTAATTTTTAATAAAGATTTATAATACCGATTAATAATTCAATAAATAAAATAAATATGTTTTGCTAATTCAAAATAATATTTATAATTAAGTTAAACACAATAAAAAATGTTTCATGACACTTATTTTATCGAGTAATTTTTTTCCATTAGTTTGAATTATAAAATTTGTGAAACAACCTCCTGTAGCGTACGATTAAAGTATCATTGCGTGTCATAATGGGATATTTGAGCAAGATCATATTATTCCAAACGAATATATCTCCCAGCCCCTATATTTTACATTTTAATTTATAAATTATAATACGCTATTATATTATATATAAATATTATAATATCTGGTCAATTGTCAGTAGAATTAATGACATTGATGCTAATTGGTTTAATAAGCCGGGTCTAGTAAAAATATATTCCATGTGATGTGTTACGTTCGGTGATGTATACCGAAAGTCTGCGTAAACTATAATAGGTCCAATATGAGCATGGTCCTTGGCAAGAATCATTTCCAAACACGCGGGCGTCTTTATCACCACGCTCAGTTTAGTACTGATTAGCCTGCGCCCGAATAGACATAGGTGAGCTGTGAATACAACTGGTTCGCCCATGGTCACATTAGCATCGTGGCACTCCAAGGCCAACGTGATAATGCCCGGTATTAGCCATTTGTGTAGGTAGTTAGCATGCTCAACATCTAGGGCATTTTCGATCACTGTCTATAAATACAATCAACTATAATATTACTTACAGAGATTACTTACATTTTGAGTCCTTTCTTTCCAGTCCATTGAGTCTCAATCCATGTAACGGACACCGAGTGCAGTCATCGGTCGACTCCTGTACTACACGTCCGTCGACACCGAGATTTGCGCCACATTTGGGACAATAGGCAGATAACACCCATACCCTACCGGACGGCGCCCTAAACACCATCAACTGTTGAGACCGCATACCTCAAACGCTTTCACCGTATTAATGGACAACTTTTTGGACGCCATTATTAAGTACCACGTGTTGGGATAACCGATAAATGGTTGAGCCGGGACAGTTGATTTTGAGCGATCAAAGTATTGCTTAACATTTTATAAAACTATATTGTATTAACTCACATATTATTACTGACATACTATAACTACAAACCTTATAACATTGATTCCATTTATATTTTCGGTACCGGATTACCAAAAAAATTGGAAAAACAAGCATGATCCAAAATTGGTACATTTTAGAGCAACAATTTTCAAATATGTTTACTTTTTTAATTCATTTTATACATAATCGTATAGTTAAGAGTTTTTAATTTAAAGAATATTCTGTTTCTAATACAGTAGTGTATATTTTATATGCACTCGCCGAATTTAGCTAGCTAAATGATTTTAGAATATAATATAGAATATTATGGTATATTCCAAATGTTTAGATTCTATACCCCGTTAATTGAAACTCAGAGCTAGGACTACCATACGCTAAGCCACCGGTGGGTTCACAGAGATTCAAACAGAATCTACTCATAGAATGTCAACCAATCGATAGCCAAACCCTGATTTGATTGGATACCAGACATACAGAATATTCTACATTACATTCACTGAATAATTAAACTAATATTTCTTAGTTTAAAGTATTTCTAAAGTCTAACTAATAAAACAATCCTAACTTCTAAACTCATTTTCCCAGCGAAACACTGGTCTTTTCCTCACGTCTATTGGATACCTATGGGCACAGGTATGCAGTGGTCTTCATTCACTCAAACCATATGTGTTCCAGAGATTTAAATTATGTTTAACGCCATTTATAGCCCGTATTGGGCACAAGAGTTTCCAAATATCTAGCACTCATTTCTTGATAAAACTAATTGTACGTAAAAATATGAATGACCATGGATAATTTGTTGAATAATTTCATGGAGTCAAACATTGCCTTCTGAACGGTCATCCGACCAAAAGTGTAGCGACAAATGAATGAACAACAACTCAGCGAATCAGTCGTACGGCCAAAGTTCCGCTAAAAGCCCGACAGTTGGCAACTCTACTCAACACTGGTATCCATAGCTTTATACACAGCCGTAGACTCCAATCATTGATCACTTAGTGTACAGTTATAGCACCGATTGGATCGTGAATTACATGACAAACAGCGAAATGATTAATAAATACGCTTTCGTTGTCTTACTGTTGGCCGTGTCGGTGGCCATCGAGTTGGGCGCCAACACCGGTGCCCACGCATATCCCGATGATCAGGGTGCAAAAATAATTAAACCAGCTACAAATACCACAACTGGTAGAAAGTGTGACTGGAATTATGACTTTGGGCCGCAGTATTGTCGGGACGGACAGTGCGTGTAATGGGATGGTGTCCACAGCCCTCAAATGGTTACCCACAATGGCTCGCATCCAGTGCTAATATGAATAAATTAATCAATTGTTAAGTTTATATAAACTTTTAAACTGTTTGTAACCATTGTATAAGTAATAAATAAATCAATTTTAATCCCAATTTGTTGGCTATTTTTATTAACTGTAAAACATTTACTTCACAAAAGTATTTACAACCTTTTGGTTTGAGAAATAAGTTTTCACTTCATTTATTTCATTCAAAAAGTAAATCATATTCAATACGACAGACAGTCAATAAAATTGATACTAAATTAATGTCCGTTTCGGTGATAATTCTCCTATCGATCAGTTTCCTCGTGAGAATCGCATCCGACTGTTCGTTATCTTCGGGTTTCAGTCGCTTATGGGACGGACTCTCAGCTCCAGAATCGGCGGTCAATGTCTCGCTACTGTCAGTCCCTTTAATCCCCGGTAGTGTTCACAGAATCGCTGCTTTCCTGGTATTTGTGTTGGAATTCCGGTTCTGTAGGCGCAAAGTGTGGCAACTCTTTGACGATATAGTGTCTCAACTCGTGGCCTAACCCGGGATCAAACGCTTGGAGTCGCAAATACCAGCGTAATAGTGGGCATAGTATTCATAAATACAAACCAAAAAACACATTACTGTATAAAACACTACACACTGTCAGCCCTTTCGACCCTCCCGTTCCTCATGTGCCCGAACTGCAACTCAACCCGGAGTTCGCCGAAGTGGGAGTGCGGCAGACAATCTGGAATCCATTCGATCACAAACGGTATGGTCGACGACGAGTCGGTCGCCTCCTGGGAAACGGCGCCCACTTTGAGGAACGTCTTCAGTTCGCACGGCTTTATCAGCAGATTATCGGCGCTATGCGGGCCAACCAGTGCCGAGCCATCGGTGGTCGTGTCGGACAGGTCTGCGAGCGCGGCGCCGATGGCCGACGGCTGCGCAAAGTCGTAACTGCCGTCGCGATTCTGGACGAAGTACTGCTGCAATCGGAGCGACTGTCTCGTGGTGTCGAAGATCTGCTGGACGTGCGTTACGCTCGTGATTAGGTACGTGTACTTTGTGAACGTCCCCAACGGGGGCCGGTCTTTGCGGGTGAACACTGTCGTCATGTTTGGCAACCGCTTCCTCCGCAGTCCGGTGGCTATCCTCTGCTGCAGGCAATCGAAATAGCCTTCAGTTTTTGGGCATGAAATGAGAGTTTAGTGTTTCCGGTGATACTTATGGGTGTGTTTCGCGGTAGGAATGGGTGATACAGACCTTGAGGTATGCGAAAGACTAGTGCCTCCGGCTTCCCGTTCAGCTGGTAATGCATGGATTGATTGATCAGTTCCGTGACGCTCGACAGCCAGTCAATGAAATTGATACTAATGTCCGTTTCGGTGATAATTCCCCTATCGATCAGTTTCCTCGTGTGAATCGCGTCCGACTGTCCGTTATCTTCGGGTTTCAGTCGCTTAAAGGGTGGACTCTCTGCCCCGGAATCGGGGGTCAGTATCTCGCAACTGTCGGTCCCGTAATCGCCGGTTGTGTTGTTCACAGAATTCTTGTTTTCCTGGAACTGGTGCTGAGATTCCGGTTCTGTGGGCACAAACTCTGGCAACTCTTTGACGATATAGTGTCTGAACTCGTGGCCCAACACCGGGTCCGAAGCGAACGCGCAAATACAGGCGTAATAGTGGACACACTTGCGCTCAGCGGACAATTCGTAGGTCTTGTGGTCGTCCACCACGGGATCAGTTGTCTTATTCACGCCATTATTACCGATCAACTGATTGTTCGCGCATTTGAATGATTTGAACGCTTTGCAGACACAGGAGAACCTCATGGGCAGGGGTTGGCCAGTGGTATGATGATGGCTGCCGTGGGACCTATCCATCGACGTCTGCGCGAACCAACAGTGAAGGTAACCCAACGGCTGCTTCTGATTGGCGCTACACTTGACAACCATCGACGTGAGGGACACCCTCTGGACGAGAGGGCCGGGCGTGTCGAACGCCAACTCAGCGATCTGTTGGCGCATACCATCGGTGATCGGCAGCTTCTGGAGCACAGAGTTTTTGAGGGCGAGGGGTCGGGCGTCGGTCGCGCACCGGACGGACTGTTTGATGTGAGCGCACGACTCGATGAGCGTCAGCCGTATGTTTGTGGAGCCGCCGGACGCCGACACCGATGAGGACGACGACGAAGAACTGGTCTTCTGGTGGTGGCTGTGGTGGTGGTGAGTGTGAGTGGAAGCGCCGCCACTGCCGCTGCCTCCGGAGGAACCGGTGGTGGTGTTGATGGGGAGCACCGTCTTATGGGTGCCGCAGACCTCGACGAAGCACCGGGCGGTCGTCTCGGCAATGAACTGGGCGTTGAGTGAGGGGTCGCTCGTGCCGTCCAGACCCCGAATGATGGGCACCTCCACGAAGCCCCGGTAGTCGGGACCCCTGTCCCGCACGCGACACGAGTAGATGTTGGACGAGTTGTTTGCGGTGATACACCGGATCGACTCGGCGGTGGTGGTGGCGGCTGTCGAAGGCAACGACACCGTATCGTCTCTGCGGTCACTCTTCGACGACACCGGCGATGGCGCGGAGGAAGGGCTCCGGGAGGCGAAGACGTGATCGCACGCCTTGTTCTTGCATTTGGTACCTCTGGTGCCGTTATATGTGCGACATTTGGGGCACCGGCGGACCCCCCGCTGGGTGGCCCGACCCAACCCACTCAACAGACACCGTATGGACGCCTCCTGTCTGGTGGCCATCGATGGTAAGCGGCGTTTGGTCGGCGAAAAAGTTTGCGATTTGTTTGCAAAACAAATTTGTTTTGGTTT